TCCCAAATGTATTACCACAGACAGTTTACCTTCTGAATCTTAATAGCTCAAAGTTTAAAACTAAAGATATTAACAAGTTTCAAACAGAAATTGAGAGGTGAAATGATAATTGTTGCTTTATTGAGTGGATGTATTTTTCAGTGTTTCATTATTCTTTCACTCTCTTTACTTTCAGTGCATCAAGGGTTAATTAGAATATGTTCTAAACCAGTGGTCCTTCAAAAGGTAAATTCCAAATCTAATGTTTCAAAAACCAGTGTTAGGGCTGGAGAAATGGCTCAGCAGTTAAGAGTACCGGCACGGTGGCTAATAACTATTTGTAGCTCCAGTTCCAGGGATCTGACACCTTCTGTTCTGTGCAGGCACTGTATGGCACACGTGCATTTATACACATGCAGGCAAAGCACTCATATGCATAAAATAAAAATAAGTAAAAATTAAAATTAAAAACTAGTCTCATTACTGTTAGAAATTTTAAGTTAGTATGTACATAAATAAAAGTGTCCTTTTTTAGTTTTTAGCTATGCTTGTTTTTGTTGATGTTTTTGTTTTTAAGACAGTGTGTCATGAGCCAGGAATGGTGACAAATACCTGTAGTCCCAGAACTTGGGTGGCAGAAGCAGGAGGATCTTTGTGAGTTCAAGGGCTAGCCTGGTCTACATAACAAGTTCCAGGCCAACTGGAAACCGGGGCTATAGGGAGACCCTGTGTTAGAAAGACCCCCCCCCACCGCCGTCCCCACAAAAAGACAGCATGTTGTGTATCTCAGGCTGGCTTTGGACTTGATATGTAGCCAAGGATCACCTTGCACTTAAAGATATTCCTGCCTTTATCTCATAAACGTATCCGTGTACTACTGTGTCAGGTTTGTGTGGTACTGGGGATAGAACCTAGGGCTTAGTGCATGCTAGGTAAGCACTCTACCAACTGAGCCACGTCCCCAGCCCAGCCATGCCTTACATTTTGAAGTATCCTGTATAATAATCCTGTTTTGTTAGGCGAATATACTTCTATTAAGGAATAAAATACCATTACATACATTAATTTTTTTTACATTTATTTATATGTGCATTACAGTTTGCTTGTGGAGGTCAGAGGACAATACTTAGGAGTCAGCTCTCTCCTTCTACCATGTGGGTTCCAAGGATCAAACTCAAGTCATCTTATTGGCTCTTTATATACATTTTTACAAAAAATGTTTTTCTTTCTTAAAAATCTGGGAGAAAATACAAAAAGAAAAAAAAAATCTGTTGTGGTGGCCGTGTCTTGATTACAAATGAACTCAGGTGAGGTGAGAGATTGGGTCACATAAAGGAGAAGTAATTTGTAAGTGCATTTGATAGATACTGTGTTAGACTCTTATTGACTATATATTCACAAAGCTTTCTCTCTTGGGTTTTTTTTGAGACAGGGTCTCTATAGCCCCACCTGTCCTAGAACTCACAGAGATCCACCTGCCTCTGCCTCCCGAGTGCTGGGATTAAAGGCGTGCACCACCACGCCCAGCTTTTTTTGGTCTTTTTGAGACAGGGTCTCCTATAGCCTCAGCTGACCTGGACTAGCTATGTAGACCAGGCTGGCCTTGAACTCACAGAAGTCCACCTGTAAAGGCGTGCACCACCACACCTGGCATTTTAGTTTTCATTAGGTCATTTTTGGTCTACTGCATAGTTTCTTACTGGTTGTTATCTTCATTTAGAAAATGTTAAAGTCAATGTGTTCTAGAATCAGCTATGTTTGTATGTCCCACTCAATACTGGGATGTTATCTTTCTGGCCAGGATGTAGAGTCTGAAGAGCACCGTGCCTCAAGAGAAGTTAGAGCTCGCAAGTGGAAAGCACCCACCTACAAAGACTACGTGGATCTTTTTCGACATCTCTTGAGCTGTGACCAGATGATGGTAAAATTTGTAGACATATTTTTATTACATTTATTTATTTATTTGGAGGCATGCTACAGCACTTGTGTGGTTAGAGCACAACTTTGAGGTGTAAGTGCCCTACTTCCACCAAGTAGTTCCTGGAGATCAAACTCAGGTTGTCACACTTGGCGAGAGTGCCTTTGAATCTTAGCCGTTTCTTGAGCCTAGTTTTTGTTTCTTGATACAGGATCTCATGTAGCTCATGCTAACGCTGAACTATGTCACTGAGAATCACCTTGAACCTTTGATGATCTTTGTTCCAACATCCCAGAATTTATCATTAGAAAGTCATAAATGATTCCACTTCTTGTCTTTATTAAGAACTCAACTAAAAAGACAAACCCCAAACCAAGTAGACATGATACCCTGTATCAAAAAACAAAACAAAAATTGCCATAGTTACAGTCTCAAGACATTTATTTCAGAATTTTATTTTATTAACTTTCAAAAGTTCTTTTTAAAAGCACACTTAAAATAGTTTAAGTCAAGGCCA